ATCAGCTCCTTTCAGTTGAGAATACTCCCAGGAGACTACTTGGTTCTCCTTGGCCTCTTCTATCTTCACACGGCCCACAGGTGTAAGGAAAGGAGTGTAGCTCCTTTTGAAACTTGATCATTGCAAAATGATAGACATGGGAGCCAGGTGTTGGGAAACTGACTGTCCTGGTTCTGGGAGGCGACTGCAGGGGGAAAGTGAGAGCGAGGATTGATCTCTGTAGGCCTGTGAATAGCCTCTGCTTCCCATTTTGTCCGCAACTCTCTGTAGTTTCCTTTTCCTGAGTTTTCTAGGTTATCTATTAAAATTTCTGTATTCTAGCAATATCCTTTCGCTTAGGCTGCTAGTTTAATTTATTTGAGTTTTTTTAAATGGTAAAATAGATGTATAGTATCTCCATTTTTCTCCCTTTTTCCTTTTCTTTCTGCAAAATCAAAGCCAATTGCTCATTTTCACATTTTGTGAAGCTTTCCACTTAAATCTCTGAAGACGAAAATCATAAATTAATTTCTTTATCATAAATAAATTCCCCTTATTGTGTCCTTTTGCCTATATGATATTTCCCTAACCTTAAAGTGGTTGCTATTTAAGTAATGAGAAATTAAAACACTGAGTTTGTGGTGTTTTTACATTTGATAGCATGTAATAAGATACCAAATAGCATGTAATAAGATACCAGATGAGTCACATTACCTGCCCCCTCAGCACTTCACCCTTTCTTTTTATCACCCCTTCATCCACCAGAAAGCTTCCAGGACACTCCAGCTGAGGTATAACTAAGTGCAAAAAATGCTTCATGATAATGGAGAAAAACAACTATATGATTGACAGTGATTACCTAGTGAACAGACAGAGAAGCGAATTTATAGCAATTTTATTTAAAACTTTCAAAGCTTAAAGGGCACAGTTAACTATCAGATGCAGTCTAACAGATTATTCATCTCCTTGCAGCAGTGTACTCTAAATTGGGTCTTCTCAAAACTCACTAACCAAATGGATAAGGTTCTGTTTAAGGAAGCACAGGAAAGCTTTTCTCTTCCCCTTGACAACTAGTTCTTCTAGGTGAGTATCTGCATTAATTGGCAGAATTGTAGTAATTCCTGTAATTTGGGTGAAGTGATTTTGTGAGTATTCCACGTCATCACATATGTACCTTTCCCAAATAGGGACTGTTCCATTTATAGAGTAAGAATTATAAGGTCTTACTTACCTTACCTCTCACACAAATGCTTTTGTAGTTAGTATGAGAGAACCTAGGTTTTGCTTTTTGCTGTGTTTTTAGTCCTGCATTTCTCTTCTTCATGGACCCCAGTAGGAGGTAGTTAGTTATAATATTATTCATGAGAAAAGTGTTTGTAAATACATGTTACCAGATTGTATTTTAAATGGCTATGGGAGGAACACTATTAATTTATAGATCTTGACCTTCTGGAGGCACTACCCATCTTAATTTTAGAGAGAACATTTCAAAAGGATATAAGGGAAATGGCCCTGGTTATTTTCCCTTATCCAAGTCTGTGCACAGTCTAAGAATGTATTTCTGATTTCAGTTTGACTGACAGACCTTTCTATAGTAAAGGTAGTAGGACTTGCCCAAACAGTAAAAGCGTTTTCATTTGGATGATTAAAAAAAGTGAAGTTCAATGAAAGTACAAGTATTAAAGTATTTAATTTTATGAAATTTTAAAAACAATTTAAAAATATTATTGCCTTTTATTTTAGAGGATTTCATTAATTTTTTAATCTTTATTAGGATTTTTCTTTATGTGTGAGCTAGTCACATCTGCCAGATTACTTAGTCCAGTTGTATTGGGACATTTGTTCTTTCTCTGATCATAGCACTAAGCAAGCAGAAAAGTCATTGTATTAATTGTTTTTGTGTGCGTTTCATAATTGTTATTCAGAAATTCATATTTACAGTTTTAAAACGAGATCATTGCTTCATTGGTTATAGAAATAACTATTTCTGATCCTAATATTTTAATTACTGCAAGGATTAATGTCTTACATATTAATTATATGCTCTTGAGTTATTTGAAACTTTGTGACTTCAGTGGGAATTGAGCCCAGTTGTCAGAATTTATTTGTTGTCAACTCTTTGTGTAACAGTCATCTGCTCATTTGTATAAAAGGAGCAAGGTGCTTTGTGTAGACCTCTTAAAATGAAATGAAAATAATGTCTAAATATACATTATTTTGAACCCCCAAAAGATACTTTTCTGTAAGTATTGCTGTTTAAAGTAATGATTCCAAGTCATACATCAGTTACCTGCTTTGTGACCATAGTGAGCATAACTTAAGGGTTTGTTTCTTTTAGTTCAGAGGCCTGCTACTGTGGCCAGGACTAGTGTCTTTCTAGGGTACTCTCCCTGCAGCTGGTTTGTAAGAATCTGGGCCAGATTAAATAGTGGAAGACATAAGAGTCTTGGACTTTCTGTTAACAGATCATAATTGTGTGATTTTCAGGTGGCCTTCTGGTAGCATCTGCTCATTTTGGCGCATATGTATATGGGACAGACATAGACTACAACACAGTTCATGGCTTGGGTGAGTAGTGGTTCTAGACAGTGTTACAGTGTTTGCTCTTGTACCAAATATGCCTTTAAATAGTTTTATGTGGCATTATACATCTATGTTTAATGTTAAAATACAGAGTTGTGGTATAATACAGTTTTAATTATTTTTACAACAGTAAGATTTCATTGGGTATCTGCTTTTTATGAAGTAATCCAGTATGTGCAAAGTGATCTCCTGGGGGAACACAGTGATGAATGAGAAAAAGCCCTCCCCTCAGAGGGATTGTGGTCTTAGTAAGAGAGGTTTTTAAAAGGAGGCAAACCATAAAGCCGTGAACTTTAGGGTTGGGAGAGAAGTAGTAGAGAAGGACTGGCCATTTTGTAATCAGCATGTCTGTGTTCATAAAACATGCAGTTTCTATTTAAAGATTGCTTTCTTTTGAGGGAGTTTTGGAAAATAGTTTAAAATCTGGGAGCTTTGCTGATGACGTGTTATTCGATGAATTGACTCAAACTGAAAAACCAACTCCTTATAGCTGAATGGTATTAAAAATGTCAAGTTTCACTGATTTTGAAGTTGTTTGTATACGTGTAGTTGAATCAACCCTTAAAACACTCTTTTCCTTTTTCTTACTCAATGTAAGTTATTATATAGGTGAGAATTTATTATATTTTATTTTCTTTTGCTGAAGAAGTTTGATATATTGTTCTTGATGACATGTCTTTTTTTCTATCTTGACTGTAAGGACTTTAGTAATATTTATCATAAGGAAAACAAGTTATATTTTATCAAGTTCACCGAAGTAAGCTTATTGGAAAAAAATATTCTTTGTCTGAAATATGTTAGAGCAGACAAAGTACTAAGAATCATTCTAGTTTGCTTATAGTAGAAGTATGTTTGCTTTAAGAAAATTGTCATATATAATTTATTTGAATTTTTATTTATGGAAGAGTATACAAAAGTTATGTTATAACCTTTCAGTGTACTTGGGTAGAATTCTGATGGGTGTAGAGTTTCCTCAGAGCTTATCCAAGATGCTGTTAGATACGCCCTTTGGTTGCTGGGCTTCTGATCTCTTACTGTACTCAAATAGTCTCAAGTTTCTCCTATTTTTAAAAATACAAAACCTTTTCTATCAATCCTGTAGGGGTATTCTAGCTACCATTTTGTTTTCCGCTTTTGCCAGCGTACTTCTTGAAAAACCAGTATTTACATGCTGTCTCCTCTTCATCCTCACTCTCTGGTGCCTGTAATTTGCCAGCTTCCAAGCATACTGTAAATTCTAAGGCCACAGATTTACAGCGTTTGGCAGTGTTGACCTTCATAAAGCTGCCCCTGGCTTCCCAGATAGTAGTCTCATTAGGTCGTACTTTTATTTCCTTGGCTGCTCCCTCGCAGCCTCCTTAAGGCCCTGTAGTTTTCTTTGTCCTGTGTTTATGCATTGGCTTTCTCTGCCAATGCAGCACCTCTCTGCCCCCTTCTCTGATCACACTGCCTGCTATGTAGTCATGTCATTCTTCTCCTTTTGATTTTTAAGTTTTGTTTTTATTGTGAAGTAGATCATAATACAGAAGAGTATATAAAAATAGAATAAATATAAAGCAAACAGGTATGTAACTGCCACCTGGGTTAATAATTTCATTCATTCTTACGGATTTTATGTAAGTTTATATACTGATGTCTCCTATGTGTTTATATACTGACCTCAGCTACCTGCTGAATATGTCTTTCTGAATGTTCTGTAGGTAGCTCAGAACCAAGATAGTTGTGTCTCAAGTGAACCCCATCTTTTTTCCTAAGCTTGTTTTCCTCTTGGTTTCGCTCATCTTAATAGATGGTATCATCATCCACTTGCGTCTTCTAAACTAGAACTTCTGAAGTTGTTCCTTCAACCCCTGCTGTAACTTTTCATCTGTAATGTCTCCATTTGCCTCCCCCCCTCATGGCCACAGCTCCTGCACTTCCCAAATTAACTTTCTTAGTTCCTGTTTCATTTATACAATTCGTCACTGTGTTTCTACATGGGACTGCTTGCTGCTGGAGGAAAGAGCCCGTGTTCTATTCAACTGTGTATCTTAGTAGTATTTGCTTTGAACTTAGGAAGTAGTGAATGAGTGTTTGTTTTAAAGCAGTTTTACTTGAAAGGTAACAGAACAATATCAGACATCAGTACATTTTACTGTTCAAAATACATTTTTTTATTAAGTTGAAATAAACAATTATTTGTATAAATAAAACAGATTTTAAGTGAAAGCAAGCTTTATTTGAATAAATGGAGGTTTAGATGAATTAAACGTTACTTTTAGCTAAATGACAAGAAGTAAGAATGCCTGTTTGATTTAATACTTCCTCTCTTCCTTTTTCTTTTCTTTCAGGAAAGGCTAGTAGGAAAAACCAGAAATGGAGAGGACCAGATGAAAACATTAGGGCCAATCTTCGTCAGTATGGGTTAGAGAAGTATTACCTTGATGTCCTGGTTTCAGATGCATCTAAGCCTTCCTGGAGGAAGGATACATATTTTGATGCAATCATCACTGATCGTAAGTTTGCTTTTATACACAAGTAGGAGTAGAATTAGTTTCCTAAAGTCATTCACATTTAAAATACAAGATTTATCAACACACACACAAGATGCCAACTTGTACTGGTATTCCCCCACCCTTGACTTCTTCACATAGTGAGAAGGAAAAATGTGTGAATGTAGGGTAGGATGCCATTTTAACTAAATAGTTAAGAGTTTACTGTTTAGTTTTCTTAAACTATGTATATTAACTTGTCATCCCTTTTTCTCTTCAGCTTATTTTTTGAGGTATGTATTTGTTTTTATATTTGTTTCATATTTGGCTATAACTGGTTATTAGTATACCCACTGGAGCCAAAATGTCATTTGCAGTTATGGTATCAGATTTTGAAGCAGAGAGTTTCAGTTATCACACATTTTTCCGTGTGTAAGCTTTTGTGTTTTTAGTAGTGCCTGCTTTCACTGGCATCTCCTATCCAGAGTTACAAGAAATTCTGTGGCCACTGGGCTTGCAAACCCACTGAGCTTCAGGAATGTGCAGGAGAACTGTGTTCCTGTGCCTCATGAGTTCTTGGGCTCTTCAGGAATTCTGTATGAGAACAGATCTGCCTTTTCTAAAGTATTTGGCAGTGAATCTGTAAATTGTGGCAAGTGTGTCTCAACCCTTCCATCTCAGCCCACTTTTGTTCTTTGGTAACTTAGATGGTTTCAAATCGTGTTAACAAAAGAAAAATTATCAAGGGATTATAATGTCAGTATGAATATACTTTATGAAAACTGAGTAACTTTATTATTTTTTTTATTATTTTTTTTTAATCCTCACCTGAGGATATTTTTTCCATTGCTTTTCAGAGAGTGGAAGGGAGAGAGAGAGAAAAGGAGGGAGGGAGGGAAGGAGAGAGAGAGGTGGAGAGAGAGAAAGACATTGATATGAGAGAGACACATGGATTGGTTGCCTCCCACATGTGCCCCTGCTGGGGCCAGGGATTGAGCCAGCAACTGAGGTACATGCCCTTGGTCAGAATTAAACCCAGGGCCCTTCAGTCCACAGTCTGAATCTGTAGCCACCGAGCCAAACCGGCTAGGGCAACTTGGGTAATTTTTATTACCACTACTTTATTGTTGCTTTCATGTATATTTACATAAAATATAATTTTTTCTCTGATGAATTGAGAGTAAAGTATATACATTGTGGCCCTTTACCCCTATACTTCAGTGTGCATCTCCGAAGAATAGGGATAGTCTCTCAGCCAAAGTACAGGTACCAGTTTCAATAAATCAGTGCAATAGTTTAATCTGCAGTTTGTCATCAGTTTTGTCAATTGACCCAGTAAAATCATTTATAGCATATTTCCCCCTCTAGTGTGATACCTACTCTAGTGTTAGGTATTGCATTTAGTAGTCATATCTTGTAGGCATCCTTTAATTTGTAACACTTTCACAGCCTTTCTGTCTTTATGCCACTGACATTTTAAGAACATAATCGCCTGCCCGCCCTCCCAAATCTTTTAAATCATATGTTCCTCCTGTACGCATTCTCAGCTGGAATATTGTGTAGGTGATGTGCATCCTTCACAGGGTGCCACAACTGGAGGCACATAAGTCCATCTGCCCCTCACTGGGGAGTAGGTGACTTTTGACTACTTGTGTGTGTTACCTGTGTTTTCTGTCTAGCTCCATATGGTATCAGAGAATCTACAAGAAGAACAGGTTCACAGAAGGAAATACCAAAGGGGATAGAAAAATGGTAAGTGAAAGCTAAATATGATGTATTACTACTTCGAGAAGAAGCATGTTGCTTCTTTTTAATTAACTCAATTTAACAGCTGTAAAGTTTTTCACTGATTTTGAATTTTTTTTTGTCTAGTCCAGAAAGCCATGTTCCTGTTTCCTTGAGTTATCATCTGAGTGATATGTTTTTTGACCTGTTAAACTTTGCAGCTGAGACCCTCGTATTAGGTGGAAGACTAGTCTATTGGTTACCAGTATACACACCAGAGTACGTAAATTAAATACATTTTTTTTAGTGTCATTTGTCTATGGTGTTTGTATATCTAGCATAATTTTTTCCCTATATAATTGTCTTTAGGATAAACATTTTTCTATTTAATGTACATGGTAGTATTTGTTTACCTACATATGTGTAAAACTGGCCCTTTCTCTTATTGATTGAATTACTTTGACCTTTTTATTTTATGTCGGGGGTTGGTGAACTACAGCTGGTGGGCCAAATATGGTTCTCAGCCTGTTTTTGTAAAGTTCTTAAGCTAAGACTGGTTGTATATCTTTAAAGGGTTAAAAAGAAACACAAAGAAGAATATGTGACAGAAAATACTTTAGCCATAAAGGCTAAAGTATTTCCTCTGGCCCTTTAGAGAAAAAGTTTGCCACTCCCTGTTGTGTTCACACTTGACTTAGTGCCTGATAGAGCTGTTCAGTGGCTGTTTTTCCTGACCACAAATAGGTAATTTCTAACAACTTAGCTGAATGATTCATGTATCTAGCTAGCTTTAATATATATTGGCTATTATGATCACCTTAAATGCAATAAATCTTTTTAAAAAGCTAACACCAGTATAAAAGCTGTGCATCTATTTAAGGTCCTGATTATGTTCAACATTACTGGTTTGGGTTTTATTATTCAGTAATTATTAATTATAAATAGAGCTGTGTACATCAACAGTGAAAGATAAGATGTTTTGAAGGTCAAGGCTCTGTCTTCTCTCCCTTACCACTTTTTATTTTAATTTGTCAACTATGGTGTGGAATATATTCCTTCATATCATAAATACTTTGTATGAAGACTCCAAATTTGATTTTAACTAATGTTGTACAAGTGCAACATTTCTGACAATATAGTGAACATTAGAGAATTATTAGATGAGGTGAAACCTGAAATAGTCATTGCTTGTTGGAGAGCCCTAAGGAAGGAAGCAGAGAATGACTTCAAGAGAATTCCTTCTACTGATAATAAAATGAAGTGCATTATAAATGTTGCTTGGTAAGTGGGTGATGAAGTTTTGAGCATGTGGTTGAGGTAACGGGGAGAGCTCCTTGAAGGTCGGAGAGACCTAGAGAAGTCAGTAAAAGTGGGGTGGTGGAGACAGTGTTGATGCGTAAGAACAGGCTAGCCAAGATGGTAGTCCTTTACACGAAGTGAAATCAGCATCTTCCCCATTTTGGGGCAGAGCTTTAAATTTCCCTATATAATAAGTGTTTCCAGACACTATCTAGAAAGGTATAGAGATTTGCAAAGGAAAAATAAGAACTGGCAATTACAGCGTTGTTAACTACGCAATTCCTGGTGTACCCTCTCCCTTGTGCTTCTGCATGCTGCTCTAGAGCTGGTTTCCCCATGTCTCTGTCATCTGTTTTTCTGCCAAGATTGATACCAACAACCTGTCAGATGTCAGGTTCTGAACTACTGCAGCCTGACTGTCCTGATCTCTGGCTGGCATCATCTCCATTCACATAGTCCCTGTGCTCCATAGCAGCAGTGACCACTGCCCATCTTTGTGGTTTCCTGCAGTTTTATTTCATGGTTAAGGTGACCAGAGAACTGATAGCATCTGTAGTGTTTATTTTAGTGGTAGTCTATTTGAATAATCTTATAAATAACTTTAGCCCTGAAGTTTTACAAAGTTAATGGAGGTCTCAAAATGCCATTAAAATTTTGCAGGGGCAAAATTTTATAGAGTAATGTATATGCTGTAGTGGCCTTTATACTTTGGGAAATTATAAATCTCCTGATGAATCAGTCTTTCATGAATGTCAGGTTGTTGTAGAATGTATTTGACTGTTTTGGGTGCTGTTGTGGGATCCTTTAGGGTGGAATTGTTGTCTTATATTTTTGTGGTTTAAGTTCTTGGCCTTCTTCAATAAAACATACTTGTATTCTCTCATTTCCATTCTACAGGTAAAACAAACTACTTTTATTCAGATGTGGTAATATTAAAATACTTTGTGTTTTTTTTTTTAAATAGCTTGTTTATGGGTTATGTAAGCAGCATATATGAAATAAAATGGTACAGCATCACGTGTAGTGGGAGGAGGTCTCATACACACTGGATAACCTCCATGACCATCATGTGTGGGGTATCCATGTGAAGTGTTTGTAACAGTCAGCTGTTTTTCCTGCAGATACACTGAAGAGATGGTGCCCTGGCATCCTTGCCTGAAACTCATTAGCAACTGTGAGCAGAAGCTTTCCAGTCACACAGCAAGGCGCTTGATAACAATGGAAAAGGTGAAGCAATTTGAGGTAAGTTATCCTAGTATTTTTGGGATAAATTCTGGAAGGATCAGAAGTCAATTTTTTTAGTTTTCCTCTGGTGGAGTTTGGAAATGTTAGTCCTTGATTTAAAAAGAAAAATTATCAATGAATTCAGGAAAAGGCAGAAGGTAAAGAGGTTTGTGGCGTTTGATGGGGTTAGAGGGTTGAAGTAGGTTATAGAAATTGAGAAGAACAGAATTAAAGCTGACCTTAACTTCCCAGGCTTCATTTGACATCTCTGTCGCTAACTCAGTTATAAAACAGCTCACTCTTAATTATATAACTCGTTTAATTAGCAGTCTGCTAGTTACCATTTTTCTCCAAAAGCATGATTGCAGACTATACTGAAGAGAAAATGTCACTTTATATAAGGGAGAAAGTAATCTGTTAGGGCTCAACACATGTCTTATTTCTTCTTCTCCCCATCCCCGCAAGCTTGAGAAGAAAGAATAAAACATCTGCAGTATTTCATATCCAGATCAGAACAGAATTGATATGAATAATGCCTTACAAGGGAGCTTAAGTAAATGCACAGAATGCTATTTGGACTGTTTTTAACCTGGATTGACAACCAAAGCCCTTCCATGTTCACTAGAAACTTGAGCAAGCCCCATCTTTGCTTTGGGTCTATAGGGTAAACAGAAAAGAACAGAGTGTTAATGCCTTAGAATTTAGTGATGTGCACATCTTTTCATGCGCCTGTTGACCATCTGTATGTCTTCTTTGGAAAAATGTCTATTTAGATCCTTTGCCCATTTTTTAAGCAGATTTTTTTTCTTTTTGCTATTGAGTTGTATGTGTTCTTTATATATTTTGGATATTAACCCTGTATCTGATATATGGTTTGCAAATATTTTCTCCCATGCAATAGGTTGCCTTTTCATTTTGTTGATGGTTTCCTTTGCTGTGCAGAAACTTTTTAGTTTGATGTAGTCCCCCTTGTTTATTTTTGCTTTTGCCTGTGCTCTCAAAGTCAGATCCAAAAAAATCATTACCAAGACCTATGTCATGGAGCTTATGGTCTGGCCTGTGTTTTCTTCTAGGAGTGTTATAGCTTCAGGTCTTACATTCAAGTCTCTAATCCATTTTGAGTTAATTTTTATGTATGATGTAAGATAGTCTAGTTTCATTCTTTTCATGGGGCTGTTCAGTTTCCTAAACACCCTTTAATGAAGAAACTGTCTTTTCCCCAGTGTATGTTCTTGCCCACTTTTTCATAAAATTGACCATGTTTGCATGGGTTTATTTCTGGGCTCTCTATTCTGTTCCACTGATGTACATACCTGTTTTTGTGCCAATACCATACTGTCTTGATTACTTTGGCTGTGTAATATAGTTTGAGATCAGGGAGTATGATGCCTCCAGCTTTGTTCTTTGTCCAAATTGCTTTGGCCATTCAGGGTCTTTTGTGGTTCCATACAAATTTCAGGATTGTGTGTTCTATTTCTGTGAAAAGTGCCATTGGAATTTTGATAGGGATTGCACTGAATTTGTAGTATGGACATTTTAACAGTATTAATTCTTCCAGTCCATAATCATGGGATATATTTTCATTTATTGTGTCTTCAGTTTCTTTCATCAGTATCTTACAGTTTTCAGTGTACAGGTCTTTCATATTCTTGGTTAAATTTCTTCTTAGGTATTTCTTTCTGATGGCTCATTATTAGTGTATAGAAACACAACTGATTTTTGTATATTGATTTTTGTAACTTTACTGAATTTGTTTATTAGTTCTATTAGTTTTGTAATGGAGTCTTTGGGGTTTTCTATGTGTAATAACATGTCATCTGCAAATAGTGACAGTTTTACTTTTTTCTTTTCAATTTGAATGGCTTTTATTTCTTGTTCTTGCCAGATTGCTCTGACTAGGACTCTCAATGCAATATTTAGTAAAAGTGGCAAGAGTGGGCATCCTTATCTTATTCCTGATCATAGAGGAAAAGCTTTCAGCTATTTACTGTCGCATTTGATGTTAGATGTAGGCTTGACATAAATGGCCTTTATTATGTTGAAGTACATTCCCTTTATACCCATTTTGTTGAGAGTTTTTATCCTAAATGGATGTTGAATTTTGTCAAATGCTTTTTCTGCCTCTATTGAGATGATTATAAAATATTTATTCTTCACTTTGTTAATGTGTTGTAGCACATTGATTGATTTGTGGATATTGAACCATCCTTGAATCTCTTAGGTGAATCTCACTTGATCATTGCATATGATCCTTTTAATGTATTATTGAATTCAGTTTGCTAATATTTTGTTAAAGATTTTTACATTTATGTTCATCAGGGATATTGGCCTCTAATTTTTTTTTCTTGTGGTATCTTTGTCTAGTTTTGGTGTCAGGATAATTGTGTCCTCATAAAATGAGTTCAAAAGTGTTCCCTCCTTCTTTAGTTTGAATTTAATTCTTCTTTGAATGTTTGGTAGAATGCACCAATGAAGCCATCTGGTCCTGGACTTATTTTTGTTGAGAGGTTTTTGATTATTGATTTAATCTCCTTACTAGTAATCTGTCTATTCAGATTTTCTGTTTCTCATGACTCACCTTAGAAGGTTGTGTTTCTAGGAATTTATTTCTCCTAGTTGCCCAAATTGTTGGTGTATAATTGTTCAGAGAAGTCTCTTATAATCCTTTGTATTTCTGTGGTATCAGTTATAATATCTCCTTTTTCATTTCTGATTTTATTTATTTCATTTCTATTTTAATGGCAAAATTGTGGACAATTTCACATTTGTGTTCCCTTGAGTTTAATTTGTTTAAGAAAGCCTAGTATTTTTTTCCAGATTTATAGTATTTTTCTAAGCAAATTTATTTGATAGAAGCACTAGAGAATGATCTAAGGATGCTTCTGAGAATTTTTCTTCTACATAAAAATGATAAGAGCACTCACCTTAGATATTTTTAAAGCTTTAAGGGCAGTATTAGTTTTTGTTTAGTTGCTTTTTATTATTTTACTTTTGTCCTTTTAAAACTTATTTTAAAAAAGGAAAGAACCTAATGCTCAAGTAATTTTTGAAGTGGTGTCTTTATAAGATCAAATTTAATCAGTGAGTTTTAACTAGTATGGAGTTTGCTATAACTGAAAATACTGTCTTGTTAAATTCATCATGTTTGGTTTTTAATTAATTACTTCATTTCTACCTTCTGTTTGTATGGAGAGAAGTGTATATAATTGCAGCAAGATCCCAGTCCTTTATAATGCAAGTGATGACATAAAATTGTCAAACAGTTCTCATACGCGTCTAACAAATTATTCTTGGGCTTGTTCAGCGTTGTTGATTTTGGCAATGGAAGACTATTAATTTTAGATTTTTACACTTTTGTATACTGTGTCTCTTCATTTTTGATTTGTCACTTGTTAAGTTTAACTTCAGTATAACTTTTGGCCCACTTGCTAGGTTGTTACAAAGTGTTCTCCCTTTCCAGCCTTTTAGAATGTAAACAGAAATGCAAAAACTTTTTAAAGCATACGGATATTTCATAAAATTTTGTATCTTTAGATTATTGGCCATAGTTTTTAGATTTATTGAATGTTAGTAGTAAAGAAGAAAATTCTTGCCAACCATATTGAAATTATGAAGGTGCCTGATAAGAAAAGCTAGTGTTTTGGTCAGTATTACATGTTTATATAGTCTGAAAGCTAAGTGAATTATAAGTAACACTTTAATAATGCTTTATTGTCTACAAAGCTTTTAGATCCATTGACCCTGTTATTTTGCACATTTTAGAGATTAGGATGTGGCTGAGTTGAGACCAGAACTCCTCTTTGTACTTGAAATTCTGTATTCTTTTTTCTATATCATAAATACATTTCTACCTTTAGAATATACCAAGATTGTCAGGCCGGCGTGGCTTAGCTGTTGAGCAGCATCAACTTATGATCCAGGAGATCTCGGTTCCATTCGCGGTCGGGGCACATGCCCAGGTTTCGGGCTCGATCCCCATTAGGCGGTGTGCAGGAGGCAGCTGATCAATCACTCTTTTTTATCATTGATGTTTCTATCTTTTCTTCCTTTCCCTTCCTCTTTCTGAAATCAGTAAAAAGATATATTAAAAAACACACACAGTATACCAAGATTAAAAAGCAAATATTCTTGAGTGGCATATAATTTTCTTTTAAAGATAGTCTTTCCTTATCACTCATGGGGCTATGGTAGAATGTGACTTGTTTTACTAGAACTCATTTCTCCTGTTAATACAGCATGTAGCCGATGCTGCCATATATACTTTTGGTCACAGTGGTTACTCCTATACAATATTTTTCTCTTAAGAAATTCATAGAAAAATGCTGATCTCCAGAGTTGTCCACAACAGATAGGAATGCGAGTTTAATAGTTATGTCTCCAGTGAAAGTCACCTAAAAGAACACTCTCTCAACTCTTTCTACCAGTATACTTGGACAGATGAAAAAGTTCCCAGAGTAGCCATTTTCAAGACTTTCTTGAAATCTTTTTTATGTGTAGGGTGCCACTTTTACACTCTATAGTACTAGTTTAAATATAAAAAATCATTTAAAATTGTCATTGTACTAAATGGGCCAACCTGTGCCCTGTTGTTTTGTGGCTTGTTTACCTGACATGCTACTTTGTACTCCTAGTGATTTGAGGACTGAAGTATTGGTAAGTTTTATTCTAGGTATTATATGGACATCAGTTTAGACTAAAGTTATAATATCATGTAGACCAGTTGTCATTATTTTTTATAGCGAGCCAGAGTAGTTCAGATTATTTAAAATAAAGAATATTGGGTGATCATAGTGGCAGGTGACGAAAGTTAATGTACTTTTTTATTTTGAACTGAATGAAAGAGTCTAGTAACATGAAGCTGACGAATGCTTCATTAATCAGAATGGAAGGTTGCCAAAACTGAGGGCTTTGACTAAAGGACTGAAAGATTTTGAAGCTGTGGAGGGAGGAAGAACAATTAACATTATAACAACATGTTTTAAATGAGGAAGAGATTAGGTATGAAGCATTTCAATCAT